CGTTCTTTCTGTCGCGCCGAAATACGTTCTTGCCAGTAATAACAGGCTACGTTTAACCGCAATTATTGCGGCCATTAAACTCACATTTATCTATAATCACCGTTTCCCGTCCAAACGAGTATCCTCCGTGGCAACAGGAACTTTCCTACGAAATACCATCGTCTATGAACGTTCACGCGAGCATACCAATACCCATTACACCCTGTGTCTATACACACACGTATACACGCGTCTCGTGAAATCGTATATATACACCTGTATATACATCATCGTCCACGGGATTAAATACTAAACATTCCAGCCGACTGATTACTTTACAACCGCCAATAAAACAGCAACGATTACGCACTGTCACGATCAACGACAATGGACGACTCAATGGAGGGAACGGGGCTCCACGGATGAAGAGATCCGGCGATATGATCTCGCGAAGTTTCTCGGCGATCATAAACGCTCTCTGCCTATACGAACCTCATTTCTCTCCCTCTCTCCCTACCTCTCCCTCTCCCTTTCTCTCTCTCTCTCTCTCTTTCTCTTACTCTCCTCTCCATCGGTTTATCCGCTCATTCGTTCGCGAGGCGAAGCGAGAGTGGTCGCCATGGTGTATAGCCGGGGCATCATAAGTCTCGCGCAATTATAGTTTCCGTATTTTCTTAAGCAGCCGGAGGATCGGCCGGTAATGAATCACGCGGACAGTATAATGCGTACATGCGCGCGCATTGTAATGCACGGTGTAAAAACCGCCACGCAGAAAGTGTACACGCGTGTACGGGGTTTAAGTTTTGCGGCCGTTGCGCTGCTGGCAATAAATAACGCGGTCGGCCGCCGAAGACGAACGGAGAACGGTTGAAAGGGCCAAGGAGAGAAAGAAAGAGAGAGAGAGAGAGAGAGAGAAAGGAGGAGTAAGAGATAGAAGGACGTAGGGAAGAAATCGAGCGAAACTGGAGGCTGAGCAAGGAGGAGGAGGAGGAACGAAAAGAAGCGAAAGAGGACGAAGCAGGGCCGATGCGTGGAACAGGAGCGGATAGGAAGAAGCTGGCCGAGCGAAGAGGTGGCAGATGAAGAAGAGTTTTATTTGCGTATTTATATCACGCGTGGAAAGAGAGAGCGTTACGCGTTAAAAGCGAGCGTTACACAATGGCCGAGCGGATTTACCATTATCCGTCTCACCTTCTTCTAACGCGTGTAATAATGGACGTACGTGTGCATATGCGAACGGCCACTCCTTTCCTCCCTCTTTCTTCTCTCGTTCTCGCGCTCTGCCCCCTCCCCCTCTGAAAGAGAGCCGCGTCGTTAGAGCGTGCGAGAATGCAGCGACGTCTTGTTTTCTCTCGAGGCAGCAATCTCTCGTTGATAAGTCGAAGCGAGGACGGGGGAGGGGGATGGATGCAACTACGAAACTACCATCCCATCTTGTACACTAGATGGAATCGTTTCCCCTCAGTTTTCAACTCGCCAGGTTCTCCCTGGCTGGTTGGTTACAAAACGAATCGCTGCGGCAAAACCGCGTGAACGATTGCACGCAATTACTCTGCTCGACTCTGCTGCGACTCCACCATCCTTTATCCCTGATAAAGGAAAATCGGGAGAGGGAGCTCGCCCGGTCGGTATGCTAATACCGCCACGGGTACGCGAAAGCGGGAGGAGGAATTCGAAGCTCGGTGTTCCGAATTACTTTCTCACTGTCATCGAGGCAAATTAGACGGCCATTAAGTCCGCTCGAGGGCCACCTCTATTCGTCTTTCTGGCGGGGGAGGGGGGGAAGGAAAAAATGCGACTGCACGGTCCGCTGCTTGGGAGCCGAGCATTTGTCATCGTCCACTTCGAGCGCGTCCACGAGGCTTACTTACGGACGGACCACCGAGCCAACGTGTCGCGTCGTCGTCGTCGTCGTCGTCG